GCATCAGCTACATATCTAATAGACAACATAATAAACTTTAAAACAGTCATTCCTTATCAGTATGAAAAATTATATCTGTCAATAAGACAGAGAAAGATGTTTTAATATCACAAGAACATCATAAAAGAATTATCTGCATTTCAATACTAGAAAAACTAAAATCTGCTGACATAGTTTTATAATACAGATTAGCATTACAGTTTTAACTGTGCGTGCCTTGTTATTTTTGTCTTTTATAGCAACTGATCCTTCTCATAATTTAGAAAAGTTTCAAAGTTTTTTATTCAGGAAAAATTAATGTAAAAAGATTTCTGAAAGGTAATTATTAATATCGGAAACGGATGTCGTCATTCAGTACATTTAATTCTCTATTCAATAAAAAGTGGAAACTGTTCTTTTCCCGAAACTGATAATTGCGTTTATTTGAATAAATGCTACTACATGGCCTATTTTACTTCTATTTTTAATTATTTATTTATTTAAGTTGGTTTTTCTGTTCATACATCAGAACTGAGATTTCTTCTGCACCTGGAAGAAACGTCTAAATTAATACACCTTGCTTTTTAATTCCTTCTTTTGAATTTTCTTTTCTCCTTTTTCTTCAGAATCTGTGATTTATTCTAGCGCAATTTGCAAGACCAGTGCTTGAACACTTTACGGTTAACAGCTTCGTTTTTTATCCGTGCTCCTTTTGTTCCATTTGTTTATCCCTAATAAAAAGGTTCATTCCGATTGGCTGAATGAGACATGCCAGTAACAGAACTGCCTACAAAGGATGGTTTTATGAAAAAAAGTGCATTGTAAACATTTTCGGACATAAGAATCTTTACTATAAAGGGAATCTAACATTTAATAAAAGAGGAGCTAATAAACGGTGTGTTAAAAGAATATATTTCGTTTCGGAAGTTTACTTGATGAATGTTATACTAGCATTCATCAAATGCACTTCCGGAACAAGGAAAAAAGTAATGAAAGCAAAAATTTAATTCAGACAGTTGTAAGAAATTATGGCATTCTATTATCTGTACTCAAGTTGTGTAAACTGTTAACACCTCTAAGTAACAACTGGAAGATCTGTGATTCAAATACCTGTAATGCACTCAGTTGAATTTCTATGTTTTCTGTTCCGAAATAACTAATAGCTTCTATGGAATAACCACACTGTATTTAACGAGAAGCATTCGCTTTGTGTATTCTTTATTTCTTTACAAAAAATTATCTTTTCACATATTTTACAATACAATAAGAAAATCTATGGTAAATAATATTTTTAATGTTTTATGCAAAGAAAGCTCATTCTGTACAGTACAAAAGCAAAGCTTCTTAATAATTATCAATAGAAATGCGACTATTCCATGCATAGATGCATCATGTGCAGAAAATACATTTTAATGAAGGCGAATTAATGATAATACGATAAACCGTGCGCCAAACTGAAAATTAACAACAATGAAAATGAAAATTTACGATATTTTTTCCCTCTCTCGCGACAGCAAATACGGTTTTTGAACTTTAATTATTATCTGCAGAAAAATAATCCACTTATGAAAAAAAAAATAACATTAATAAATCATAAAAAAAATTAACTTGATAAGGCTGCTTCTTACGGATTCTTAATGAAACACGCGATTTTTACTATAAATGCAGGAAAAAAATAACACAACTTGCAAACAGGAAAACACAGAGAATTTCTCTTCAAGATTAGACTAGATTCTTGGAACATGATAAAGCACACGAAGGTTGTCTGGTTATGAGAAGAAATCCCTTGCGTGGAAGAATTTATAAGAGAAACTGTCTTATATTCACGTTATACATGGAGAAAACTACGAAAATCAATAAAGCAGCTAAAAAGTTAGCCTGGGATCGAACACTGGTCGAATTCCTAGCATTCAGCGCCCTTGCCCACTCGGCTAGCGGTTGGGCTTTCATTATCTCCAAACCAAAAAAGTAATTCTTTGTGAATGAATGAGCTGAAAGCCATAGAATCTGATTTAACCTGAATAAGATGACGATTAATTTCGCTTAGAAAAATCGCCCATGAGTGCTTCTTTCCTAAAGCAGATAGTGTTTGCATATTTTGTTGTTAACTAAATTTCATGGCGTATAAACAGTATTGTGTTTAAGGAAGGGATAAAAAAAGGATATTCATTCCGGTTTAAAATAATTTTAGCAGTGGCATTCTTTTTCCAAGTAACTTGTAAATATTTGCATTTCCAAGTAATTTGCCAATTTATATGCACTTTTCTTCCTCAAAAATATTTAATTTTTAACTCTTTTATCATTTGAAGGAATTATAATTTAAAAAAAAAGGAATGCCATTTCTTACGGCACGTCCATGGTAGAGTTATTTATGAGTGACTGGAGATAATAGCTTTATGGCATTTAAGAATCTGAGTCTGATTCCGTTTTGTAATATTCAAACGCTGTAGGTAACTATACTGTTACCACTAAATCAAATCTTAACTTTTTCTTTAAGTAACTAATATAAGTCTTTCATTACATTAACAAAAACCAAGATCTGATTTAATGAAGACTGAATACAATATTAGTTTTAAATATATTAATATTTGAATGAAACTGTAGATGAAATTATTAAATTAAAAAAAATTAAAAGATTATTTATCTGAGAACTTATATCATTTGCTTGCTCATATTATGACTTACAATATTTCTGATAAAAACTTTTCTACTCATTTACAAGTTATATATTTTCAAACTAAAATTAACAGATGAAATACGTACTTATTTTCATTCGAGTATAAGAGGAATTTAAATATATCTTTTCCGTTTATTTTTTCTATTATATATTCAGGGTATTATTTATTTTTCTACATTATTTATATGCAGAAAATTAAAAATGTAAATATGATTTTAGTATTTATTTATTCTCCTCCCACTTTCAAAAAAAGATCATATATAAACCTTAAGATTTACTGTAAACTATCTTCTAGGTTTTCCAATACAGAATAGGGCAGACTAGCATTGGTAAGATTAAAATTACAGTAATAGCTATGATTCTGACGAAAAATAATCCAGATCTTTATAATTATAATTTATTGAATCTCTTGCCTCAATAATTTTAAATGTTTAAGAATGTTCAGTAAAATATCAGTTTTTCGTTCTTGATTGTTGCATTGTTAACAAGAGCTATAGTAGATTTGATTTCAATTAATTATTAAATATTATATTTTAAAGAAACAGGTCTTCTTATTATATGGATATTCTCCGGGGTGAGTGTGAAATATTGGATTAGACTCGCCTTTCATTTATCAGTAAAAGGTCTATTTTTTCTTTACTTTCTATCTTCCCCCCTTTTTTTTTCGAAAATTTCCAAAACTTTTAAAGCATAGCATTTAAACTGATTTCTTCATTTAAGTGAATTAAATTTTTCATATGCAATTGAAGAATCTTCTGAAAAATTATTCCTTCTTAGATTTCTTAGACTTAATAATGATATTTTCAGTTAGTAATAAAATCGTAAGTTCTTCTGTATGAGTATTCCATTATGAGGTGATGTATTCCAAATTCGTCTAAATAAAACAACGAGAAAAGAATATATTTTTAATAATCAAATTATATTAGCATTGAGATTTCAGCAATATAATTTAAATTTATTAAATTTTATTTAAATTAAGCTTTAAATTAAATTAAAATTTAATCATTCAGAAACATGCCCATCCTGTTGAACAACCTCTTGGCACGACCCCTTGATGAGATGTGTACATCCGTTTTTCATAATTATAATTTGTTGTTTATTATTATTATTAATATATATATATATATACTAAACTTATTGTAAATTTTTGTCTTTTTTATTATTACTATCAATATTATGAAATAACATAACAAACTTTTTTATTATTCTTTTCAATTATAATCTGGTGTGTTGGGTTTTGTCTGTTCGGGAGAGAAATTATGAATTTTTTGGGGCTACTTAGTATCATATAGCGTAGTCAGTATTCGTGTTTTTACTATAAGAATAGACATCCCTTTTAACTCCTTCTAACATATTAGTGAACCATCTTATAACTTTAATCTTGCATTTTCAAAATATCTCTTATGGGTTATGTTATCTATATCAAATAATACCTAAAGCACGAAAATATTTGTAAATGTATTAAAATGTTCTACATGAATTTAAAAGGCTTAGTTTCTATATTAATAATAAATGCCACGGACGATAAAAGTCAAGAGTCTTCAATCAGTTTTTACCTAATGGTAATGTCAAATTATTAATGATATGGAAGCATCATTACTTGACTCCTGTTACCATTTCAGGAAAATTCGATATGTATTAATATGCTACCAATATACTATTTAACTGCCTTGCAAAACTAAAGGAAAATTTTTGCTTTATCATATTAAATAAAAATTAATGCGTCTATGCCCGATCAATAAGGATTTATTTAATTATCTTGCAAAATAATTTTGATATTGGAATAGAAAGCTGGTTTCGGTGATTATACTAACACGAATAATTTTTTACTATTCTAATCTCGTAGAAAAATTCAATAATTTTATATTACTTTATGTATTTAAAAGATTTAACATGCATTGCTAGAAAGTTAATCACCAGTGTTATCATACAGGTATACACTTGAAACACACCTGTATATAGCACTGAAACACACCATCATACAAGTATATAGCACTTCTTTAAATAAATACAAAAATGATTTAAATCTTTTTCTCAATTTTTTCTTTATGTTTTACTGTACATTATTTCCTCATTTTTTAATTTTAATTTTAATCATTCTTGAATATCTTAAAAGATAACATAAAGTTAGCAAACTCCAGAAACATTTTTAATCTTTGGAGCTTGATTGTTAAAGTACTTAAAATAAGTCATAAAATAATAGAAAACTTCTCAAATTAAGCTAATTCTTTTTTTGTTAACCATAAAGCTTTTTCTTATTTTACAATTAATAGCTGAAATCTTTAAAAAAAAAAAAAGTATTATTGCGTCATTACGCTTAAAATGCGTAATTAAACTTTCTTACCTTTCTTGAGTCTAAGGAGCAATCTTATTCCTACAAACAATTTAAAATAATTCCAATTTACGAATGATATAAATTTAATAATATATAAATTTATTTACTAGAGCGAATAAAAAAGCAGATTATTTATTTATGTTAATTTCAAAACACTGTCTTCCGTGGAACTACACACCATGCCGGTCTTGTAACAATATCACAAATGAGAGAAAAACACACTGTTATAGCCATTTAGTCTGTTCCGGACGAGAGACTTCGGAGAGTCGCTTTTGAATTAAGCCTTCATTTAGACAGGGCATAGCTGTTCCGCCTATAACCTGTCTAAGGATTTGCAAATAGAATTAGTTAAGTAGTAATAACACATGTATTAAATCGAAATTCACTTCTTTAATGTAAGTGTGAGCAGAAGCTGTGTTTGTTGTTTTGGTAGATGTTCTTGAATTTCGTGAGACCTATGCTAATTTCAGACTTATGCAAGAATGGAAGTAGCGGAACGTTTCGTGACAAAAACTTATTTTTTTCAAGTTGAATGCAAACAAAATTTCCGTTTTCATTAATATGTTTGCTTGAGATTTAGAAATGCAGCTATTTTTCTGCGCTTGTTATTTTCGCTAGAAAGCAGAGGATGCTATTTTAAATCAGCATAACATTCTCATATTTCACTTTTCAGGTTACATTACTGCTTTCTTCACTCAAACCCCACTTTTGTTCTAAACGTTGAAGAAACTAATTTAGCAAGAGTTTTATATATTTAGATGTTCTTAATTATTTATGTTACCTTAAATTATGTTGAATTGTTTGCTTTCGTTTGACAACTGACCATGATTATTTACAGTAACAATTACATCGGATTGGAGTTAAGCTTGTTGCCCTGTGTGTCATCAGGGGGATATGGATGGTGACTACCTGCCTTATTATTTAAAAATATATTATAGGAACCTCTGTCGAGGCTATTTTTTATCCTTTCTTTTATATTCTTTCATCATTTTGTTCGGCTGCTCATCGACTAATGACAGAAATGTCGAAAACAGGCGCAGGATAAAAAAATTGCATTTAATTAATTTTCATTTAAATTACATTCTTTATTTTGCCTCCAGTGTTTCCTCCGGAGAGTTCTAATAACACTACAAACAAACTGAATCTATTTGTTTCACCTCGTTCAAAACACATAAATAAATAAATAACGTCAGCCGCATGAAAATTACTCTGAAAAAAAAAAGGACATTTTTAATAATGTGTTATTTTAAATTTAATATTTTCACTGCATTTTTTTAATAATATGCTATTTATGTTAATATGCTTGAATAATATGTTACAGTATATTTATTGAATATATGCTTGAATAATATTTATTCCTATTATAATAGTTATATAATGATTTATTTTGTTTAGATATTTGTTATATTATTAAAATAATATGTTATTTTAAAATTTAATCTCTTTTGAGAATGTTTCTCAATCACGTTTTCAAGTCATGTAGCACTAAGAATTAAGCTTCTAGTTTTGGGCTTTAAAACAAATGAAAATCTTATTAACTGTGTCCTCCCTAGGAAATAAATCCGAGCCTTCTAACTGCTAATTTCATGTTTTGACTTTTACATCACAAAATAACAAGGGAGTAACTTTTAATTCCATACAGTTTTACTTCATTATCTTTAAATTAATATTTTTCATATACAGAAACACATTCGAGACTACCTTCAATGCGTTTTAAATAAAATTAGCTATTTGGGAGACATTATAAGTGCTTTACTTAACTACGTTTAAATGAAATAAATGTTTAGTTAAACTAATATTCCCAAGTGCATAAAATCCTCTTCATTGTTTCTGAAATAGTGCAGGCATTCATAAAATTGTCTGCACTATTTAATATTTCAAAAGCAGTCAAAGATTATGCTGTCGAAGAAGTGTTGTAACTTGTAGCACTCTTATGCGTTCGTTCGTAAATTAAAAACTCACTAATAGAACAGAGCCTACATTATCCGAACTGAGCAGAAGCAGCTCGTGTTTCGAAATAAGTTCTGATTTTCGTGTTTGAAAAAGGCTACTTCAAAAAATCTGTTTATTCGACACTACTTATTTTACCTAAATAATTGTTTTCTCCTAACTGTTTTACTTATATAGAAAATTATACTCTTCAATAAAATGAAAAGGAAAATGTAGTATAGTAGTGCTTTATATTTTTAAAAATATACTACATTATCTGACTGCTTTCTCTCTCGTTAAATAATCCCCTTTCTTCTCAACAAAGCTTTGAAATCAGTGTGTCCCACTGAGTTCCATACCGTTTGCTCTGCCTCAGTGAAGGTAATTGCAGTGTCACAAGCATAAAAAGCTACCAATTCATTAAAATAGTCTTCCGTGGACTATAATAACCTTTCATATAATAATCGTAGAGGGGGATGCCTACTTCTGCTTCTCTCTAGCGTTCTCTGTAGTTTTTAATTTTTGATCTATTGTCGGTGTCATTATTTCACTATAGGCTAAAGCACTCTTTACAATCAGCGTTTCATTAAGGTTTATTTATGTTCCCTTACATTTATGAAACCCGGAAGTGTTAAATTTCATACATTCTAGACCACGGCTAACAAACTGAATCACGGCTGAATAGTTTTTACACCTGAATAGTTGAAGAGTATATAAATACAGAAATAGCTTTTATGAAAGGTCATAAAGATCCAAGAACTCGAGGAAAGCGTTAAACATATCCCTGAAGCAACGTGGAGATCCGTCCAAAAAATGTTTAATGAGTGATGTCCACTTTTTCACATAAATGAAGTTCCATCAGAAATAAAAAAAATACAGCATTCATATAAATATCATCAATCCTTTTAACATAGCATCGAAACATTTTAGCAGCTGCTGCAAATCAATGAAAAACAGTACTAAATTTGTATGTATTAAGTCAAGAGGTAAAACTACGTCGCATTTTTCTTGAGTTTCGTCGCGTGTTAGAAAAAACTCGTAAGGAAATAATCTGATAAATAAATTAGATTAAAATCATTGGTTGACTGGTTTGTTCCCTATGGTCAGTTTTTGTTTACGAAATTCAATTAGACCTAGATTTAAAACTGATTCAGAACTGTAATGAGAACCCACAGTTTTATCGGAACTCGAACTTATTTCTGATGACCGGAAAAAACCAATACTTTCTTCTGTTATAATATCGCTGCACCCAGGGAAAGGTTAAAAGTCTCTAGTATTGGTAGTTTTATTTGAATAGGTTAAGATACTGAATGTCGCAGAATGCATAAGGAGTAGTTGCTTAAGTGGAGAGATGTCTTCGCAGAGGACTATCTAAAAGAAACTGCCTCTTACTCAAGTTAAAGATGGGAAAAAGCATTAAAATTAGCCATACAACCAGTTCACTCTCTTGAGTTTTAAGCTGAATTGAACTACCATTATTTAAAGGCCTTAACCGCTTAATTATTGCTGGGGCTATGGCTATAAGGTATTTCTCCCGCTTTCCTAGCGTGCCTTCGTGGTGTAGTGGTTTTGCACGCTTCGTCATTATTCCAGAGGTCCGTGGTTCGATTCCAGGCGAAGGTGATTGCTAATTTTTCATCTTGCCTGCTCCAAAAAATCCTAAAGTCTCTACAGTGGCATCCCGAACTAAAAGACTGGTGGATGAGGATTCTCCCCCACCCAGGATTTGGCGATTAGGTCCCCTAAAAACCCCAGTCACCCTTTAAAAGGGGGAGTATATAAGATATTTCTCCTGCCTTCCTAGCGTGCCTTCGTGATGTCGTGATTCTGCACGCTGGGCGGGGTAATCCAGAGGTCCGTGGTTCGATTCCCGGCGAAAGCGTTTGCTATTTTTCATCTTTCCTGCTTCCCAAAATATACCTAATGTCTCTACATGGCTTCATCTGCTATTTGATTTCCCAAAGAATAAATATGCTTCAAATACACTTTTGTTGTTTCCGCCATCTATAACATATATATATATATATTACATACATGTTATAGAAAAGTTCTTCAGGCGATGTCTATCATAAAGTAGAGAGTCAACGCGAGCTTCATTATGAGCAAGTACCTAATTACAAAGAGAACCCAAGAAAACACTTTCTAACATCTAAATTTATTTCATGTAACTACAGAGCAGTATTTTATCTCGTTGGTTTCTTACGGCTGGTGAAATATGTTTAAAACAGTCACTCTTTTACTGCCAAAAATATAATCCCATAAAGAAATATAATACCATAAAGAAATCCCATAAAGAAAAGCTGCAAATATAAAAACTGAAATGTAATAAAAATTAAAACCAGACAGAAGAATGATGTCAAATATGACTCAAGCCAAAAATCTGTACCAAAACTAATATTGAGCAAAACTACTTCACTAATAGTTTGTGTAGTTCTCCGATTTTGAAGGAGTTTTGAATTTACCCTGGGAGTGGTCTGAGGGTCTTCGCCTCTTACTCCACCACCAACTCTCGAGAAGTCTTTCGTCTTCCCATTAGTTTTTAATGCCCTTCTGACGCAGAGAGATTATACACTTACAAACATATATTTCTTTTCTGGGATTCGAGCCTTGGACCAGAGTAGTCAGCGTTTCTAACCACTTTACAAAACCCCGCTTAATTTAACTTGGATCATTGTCCATCAAGAACACAACAATGGATCAGTGTACATCAAAAGAAATCGGTTGTCTTTTTCCTGCAGTAGAGAATTTTCTCCCTTCTTACCGCGTGTCTTCAGGGTGTAATTGGAAGCACGTCCGGCTAACCTTGGGGATTCCGGAGAAAGAAGACCTTATTGCGACTAAGCTATATTTTGAGGCGTAAACACAATATAATAAACATACATGTAGTATGTAAATATTTTTCTGTTAATGTACTTATTGTCCAAATCATACCTTGTGATATGTTATTGATATGTGGCGACATCTTGTTGAATTCATTGAGATGAATTTGTGTGACAGGCTTATTGAATTTTAGACACATTAATTTTATTGTAAGTTTGTAAGTAAATCATGCATGCACATTCATCTAAATTAATTTCATAGCATTTTAAAAGCACGTTCTATATTGTTTCACATTTTATATCTTTTAAATCAACAACAAGAAAAAATCAAATTCAGGCAGATAAATCAACAACACGCTTAATATTAAATGCCTTTGAAAGAAGAATTATCATTCCAAAGACAGAAAGTATTTGCACATTTTCAAAACTATTTCCATGAAGAAGTGAAAAAAAGCAAATGTTTTGGAGTAAACATTTCTGGCAACAGCTTATTATTTGAAATGGAAAATATCGTGGTGCTTTTAAATTTATTTTTCTTTCAAACTGTCGCATGTAAACAAGCTGGGGATTGAAGGATAAATTGTTGCGCATTCCGGAAAGAAATATTCCTCTTCCATAATTCAAATACGTTGTGAAATAAACGGCGTTAAAATTTCCAAGTGGAAAATAAGCAACGTTAATAATCGAAAAGAGAAAATTCGTCAGTCATTACTTCTACACGGAAAGAAGACTTCAAATGAATACCCGAAACTGATATGTACTGTTTCTAATATTTTTAAAGTTAAATAGTTGCTAATAAGAGAAAATCTGCTGAAGCAGAAATCAATTGCAACGTCTTTAAATACATTTGTTTGAACAATAAATAAAATAATAAAGCCAAGATTTAGAACTTGAGCATATTATTTAGCAGGACATAAATGGAAATATATTGTAATTGTGTTCTGCCTGCTGAAACCTACATTTGTTTGTTATTCTAAGTTAAGTTGGTGAAGCATGGGTTTACCTAGGTGTCTGCAACAAAAAAAACGTCTATTTTTATATCGAAAACGAAGAGAAGAAATGCACAAGTCTGGTTCCGTCAACGTTAAGAAAGTTTCAGTAACAGGTTTACGATTGTCGCAGGATTCTCTTAAAACAGAAAATTAAAAGTAAGAAGAGTAGAAAACTGTTTTGATCAACTCAATATACTATCAAGAGAAAGTTTTACGTCCGACATTTACAGGAGAAACTGCGCTTCTTTATTTCAACAAGTTTCAAATAGTCAAAACAAAACAAGTCACACTTCGAAAAGCACTAGAGCGTTAATTTAAGAAATGAAAAACTGATGCAGGTATTGCATATATACTTTGTCAATGTATTGCTGCGAAGTTACCAAACGTTTCGCGCATGGACTGTTATGCGTTTTATCTCTTAAAAGGAGTTTGTCACGACGTGATGACCACGCATGCGCAGTTTAGCCGAACGACCTGCAACTCCTCTCTCTCATGTGACTTACTAGAGAAGAGTTGGTAGTTAGTAGCGAAGGTAACCCTCTGTATGCCAGCGTGATGATAAACGTAGTTCTATTTTTATTTTTATGTTAATCGTTTGTTCTTATTTTGTTCGTGTGTTAATAAAGTTTTTGGGCCGTTAAATGGCTGGTTTATGTAATGCCCACATTTAGTGCACGTTAAGGAAACACATATCCAAAACCCACCCAAGAAGAAAAATATGACAGTGGTGTCAGAAAAGGACGATATGTCATTCTTCAAAGTACACAAGTAAACGCGTAAGTGAGTCTTCAGAAAGGTAAGAAGTATTTTGTTCAATTTATTTTGTGGTAAAGTGAAATTCAAAGTTACAAAAATGGCTGAAGAGCTAACGAAATCTAAGAAAGAACGGAAAGTTATTCGTTCAGCCATTACTAAAGTAACAAATTCTATTGAATCCTTAATTGCAGCCGGTAACTTTGAAAACCTAGAAGAATCACTGGAAATTTTAAAAGTAAAAGCTATTTGTTTGAGAGCGTTAGATAAAAAAAAATTAAAACTTTGACTGATGTTAATGACATTGAAACCGAAGTCGAAAGTACCTTGGAATACGAAGGAAAAATTGCGAAATTGAGTTTTAGAGGCACAAAATTATTGAAAGATAAGAGAAATGGCAATAATTCGCTAGTTTCTAATGGTTCTTCTAATGATAGTAACAATTTATCTATTTCTGGTGTCAATAAAAGTTCTGATTATAATGTTAAATTGCCAAAGATTATGATTGATAAATTTTATGGAAACGGTGAAGTGTGGTAAACATTTTGCAATTCTTTTGACACGGCAATAAATCAAAACGAAAAACTATCCAAAGTGGATAAGTTTAATTACTTGCTTAGCCTGTCAGGCGGTGCAGCTTTAAAAACGATGGAAGGTTTTTCTTTATCGCCAGAAAACTACGACGAAGCTTTTATAATTCTTAAAGACAGATATGGTCGAAAAGATCTCCTTATTAATTCTTACATGCGCAAACTCTTAAATTTACGACCTGTTCGAAGTTCTAATGATATTAATGCTTTGAGAGAATTATATGACACCTGCAACGTACAAGTAAGTTCACTGAATTCGATTGGATTCAGAACCGAATCGTATGGAAATTTACTGTACCCTTTGTTAATGAAATGTGTACCTCAGGATATAACACTTGATTTTGCTCGTCAAATCGCAGATGAGGAAAATTTTAATGTCGACGACCTCATGAAATTTCTAAAACGGGAAATTGAAAGTCGCGAACGAACTTCATTAAATTTATTTTATTCTAAGAGTTACGGTAATTCTCTCGAAAGGCATCCTCAACCCAATGAAAAGCGAAACAACTTCCACACTCGGAATTCATTCAACGCCAACAAATTTAGTGCCAGCTATTCCCCTAATGTAAGCAAAATTGCAACTGTTCGAACGTTTCCTTGCGTATTTTGTGAAAGCGGAAATCATGTTTCTGAAAAATGCGTTAGGTCCCCGGAAGAATGAAAAAGAGTTTAAAGGCTTCTAATCGGTGCTTTCTTTGTTTCGAAAGGAACTGTAGAACAAAAAAATTGTCCTTCTCAATTAAAATGTTCAAAATGTAATTTTAAGTATCATAATATATTGTTGCATGAAGATAAGGAAAAGGTTGTTAAGGAAGAAATTAAAAATAATTCTAACGCCGTAACAGCAAAGATTTCTTCTAAATATTTTACTGTGTATCAAGAAGTTAAGGAATTAATAGATGACTTTCCAACTGTTAAATTTATATGTGATGGTAAATTAATTAATGCAGTAGCAGATACAGGCACACAATTAACTGTTGTCAGGGCTGACATTGTACCAGAAAAATACCGTACGCCACATGGAAGTGTTATCCTCACGTCAGCTTTCGGACAATCTTTAAAAGCTCCTCTAATTAACCTACCTTTAGTAATGTATTCTGAAGATGATAAATTTATGTCACCTATTTTTATAACATGTGCAATGGTGGATAAGTTATGTAATGATTTACTCTTGTCGTTAAGTGCTTTTAATGAGTTAACCCTTTATAAGGCTGTGGTAAGTATACTTCCCAGCAACTTCATCAATTTTTAAATGTCATTGGGAAGCTATTTTGCCATATATGATTAGTGCTGCCATCTCCTGATAACTTCAGAAAACACACAAAAAAATTACTAATGCAGGATTCCTATGGATGATTCTATTCTGCAAAGGGGTGATAGATGAGATGGACACTTTGAGAAAACGTGTTCGTTCGTTTGATCATTTATTATCGAGTTTATTTGTAGTTATAAACACAAAATTGATAAATTCGGTTATTTATAAGCACAGAAGTTCAAGTTTATGCCCAGTTCTTTACAGTAGGTAAAATTTTGAATTATATTTGACAGTTTTTTGTATTTTACCTCCAGTGGTGATCTCTAATTTGTTGTAGCTGAATTTTATTTTGCACTTGCTATGGAAATGTATAGAAAACAAAAGAAATATACAGCAGAAGAAGCTGTTGAATTATTTTTTTCTCTCCCAAGTGACCCTGAAGATTCAGATGAAGATGCAGATGATGAAACAGGTGAAGAGTTTTCAGTCGAGGAAAAAAGTATTGCTTTATCTGATCCACAGCCAAGCACTAGTAGAGATGCAAATGACGCAATCAAACGAGTGGATGTGAACCAAAGAACTGATTCAAAGTCTAAAATTATAGATGTTCAAAATGACTCTAGTGACACTGAAGAATATAATGCAGATGATGAAGATGACGGCGGCTGGTCTAATGATACAAGGTATTTCGATTCCCATGTTGTTTGTATGGATAGAGAAGGAATTATCAATCCTAGCCTAACACGAACCAGTAGTAAGGACTTTTTTCCCAAATATTCAACCAGGAAATTTTAGAACGTATTGTAGAGGAAACAAATTTATATGCGTCCCAAATCAAAACAAAAAGGCGCTCAGGTCACACTGTAAGTGAAACAACAAAAAACTGGGAGGACATTCATGTAGAAGAATTACAAGCATGGATTGGAATGAACATTATGATGGGAATCATTATGTTGCCTAGTGTAGATAACTACTGGAGTTCTGATCCTGCATTAGGACAACAATGTATTTCACAAATTATGACGTGCAAGCGTTTCAAAAAATAACAGAGGCAATTCATGTAAACGATAATGAGATCGTTCTTCCAAGAGATGACCCAGATTATGACAAACTTCATAAGATTAGACCTCTTATTGAACACCTCAATAAAAAAATTGCCGAAGCTTTCAAACCATCTAGTGTATTGGCTGTTGATGAAAGCATGATACCTTTCAAAGGCCGGTCTACCCTAAAACAATACATGCCTTTGAAACCAATGAAGAGGGGATACAAAGTTTGGTGTCTAGCTGATTCAAAAACTGTATACATACAGAAATTTGACATTTATACGGGTAAAACTAAAGATCAAACTGCAACGGATACATTGGGAGAACGAGTGGTGCTCAATCTAACAAGTTGTTTGGAAGGTACTGGAAGTGTCGTAGCATTTGATAATTTTTTTACGACGGTCAAACTGATGAAAATATTACATGAACGCAACATTTATGCTCTCGGTACTGTAAGAACAAACCGAAGAGGTCTTCCCGCAATAATGAGAGAAAAAGTAAAGCTAGGGAGAGGGGAGTTTCAATTCAAAAGCAAGGAGGACACTGCAGCCATCAAATGGATGGATAATAAACCAGTGACCATTCTTACAACAGTAAATAGCCTAAGTACAACTTCAGCAGTCCCGAGGAAGAACAAGGATGGAAGCATTACTCATGTATCGTGTCCAACTGCTATTGCCACATATATTGAGATTATGGGAGCTGTTGATCACTTTGATCAACTTCGAGAAAGATATGAAATAGGACGACGTTCCCGAAAATGGTGGCATCGAATCCTGTACTTCCTAATTGATCTGGTAATTGTGAATGCCTTCATTCTCTGGAAAGTAAGTAGAAAAGATTCAGGACCTCAAGACCAATTACATTTTCGACTTCGGCTAGCACGGCAACTGATTTCTGGATTTTCAAGTCGAAAACGCAAAGGACGACCTGCAAGTTTCCTGAGCAGCAAGAAAACTGTTCCAGATGACGTACGATTGACTAAAGTGGGTGACCATATACCAACTGTACAAAAAACATATAGACGTTGCCGTTTGTGCTCTACTAAAGGACATGAGAAGCGAACAAGATACGTTTGTACAGCTTGCAATGTCCCACTATGTATTAATCCTTGTTTTCTGAAATTTCATGGAAAGTAATAGGTATAAATTCTTAAATTTTTGCATTCAAAATATATCTAATTTGTAATTCCTTTTGTAGAGTTTAGTATTTGCAAATTATATTTCATAAATATCATGTAATGCAATATAAAAAGAAATGAAAAACATGAAATGTGCTACGTTTGAATAGCTCCCAGCGGGCGATGGGAAACATACTTCCCCCCGAAATAAAATGATCTTAATAATCAAATTAATTTTAGGTAATGAGCTAAATGAATTTCTTTTTATAAATCAATTTCAATCCCAGAAATACTTTAACGTAACATTACTAGAAAAAAAAAGGCCTTATAAAGGGTTAAGGGGAGATGATAAACAAAAGTTTAATTTTGAATGCAAAAATGTAAACATTACGAATGATAGTTTCGTTGAAATGCCTTTTCATGAAACTGAAAATTTTGACGAAATACTTAACCATCATGGGGAAAACCTAATTAATGAAAAATGTAATTAAACTGTTAAGAAAATAATAGAGTGTTGTGCTCTTGTATATGAAGATACAGGTAAGGATGATTTCAAAGGTAGCACGAGACACGATCAATGTGTTTCGGATTCAGAACTGTTTAGAGTTCAACAAATGAATGACCCATCTTTAAAAGCATGTTGGCAAAACGCTAAGAACGGAAGTAATAACTTTGTTATTGACAACTTTTTGTATCATAAAGCTAAAGTTTTAGGAGAAAGAGTTCACCAGTTATTCGTTCCTAAAGAAAGAAGAAAACAAATCTTGAACTTAGATCATTCTAGCCTTATGGGGAAGTCACCTACGAACCAAGAAGTCAGCCGAACTTTTGAGATATTCCTTCTAATGCCCTGAAATCAAGAAAGATGTAAATGAATATTGCAATACTTGTACTTCTTGTCAACTTCAAGCGAAAAAGCGTCCCTTTGATGAAGTTCCGATTGCGCCAGTAACACGTCCTAAAGAACCATTCCAGGTAATTAATGTGGATATCCTCGGACCTGTAGAGCCAAGCTGTAGAGGCTATAAATATGTTCTGTGTGCTGTTGATCAATGTACAAGATGGCTTGAAGCGGTACCATTGAAGAATTTGAATGCCAAAACAGCATGCGATGTGTTGTTGCAAATCTTTACACGCACAGGAATCCCTCAAATTGTTGCTTCGGATCAAGGAACTAATTTTACTGCTTCGTTTATGGAAGACGTCCTAATGGCCCTTTATCTATCCTGAAGACGTTATGGACTGATGAAACTTCTGTTCCTCATGGGCAGTTAAGCTCAGTTACCGATTATCTGAATGATTTGAAGATGAAATTGGAAAAAACTGCTGAGTACGCAAAACTTGCAGCTGTTGAAAAGCAACAAGCTTGTGCATTCTACCATAACCGTAAGACTCGTTATAAAGAATTCAAGGAAGGTGACAGGGTTATAGTTTTAATCCCTGATAGTCAAAACAAAGTTTATGCCAGATGGACGGGACCTGCTACGATCATAAAAAAGCATACTGATTATAGTTACATAGTATAAATACCTGACAATTCCTCGAAGCACGTTCACGCAAACAAGATACGAGAGTTCAATACCGCTGTGAATAATGTCTGTGTGATATATGATACAGACATTGATTTCGGCGAAGTTGAAAACATTCCAAGGATTGTTCCACGGAAAACAAAAGAAAACTACTCTAATGAAGAATGTGATATTACGCACCTTGAACCGCATAAGAGGAAAGAACTTACTAGAGAAGAGAAAATTTTAACAAGACATAAGAACCTAAGAGTTGGTATTCCAAAAATCGCCAATGTCTGGAGAACATGACATTAAACTAAAGCCTGGAAGTATGCCAAAAAAGCAGAAACCGTATCGGATACCTGAAGTTCTAAAGAAATGAAATTGATCCACAAATAGATAAGCTTTTACAGCTAAAGCTAATTGTTGAATCAGAAAGTGAATATGTACATCCTGTAGTTTGTGTATCAACAAAATGGAACGGTAGCATGTGTAGACTAACCATTTTCGTTACGACTAAACTTCACGTTTGCGTTGCCGTGCGCTACAATATAACAAGCGGTAAAGTGTCTCATTTACGCCTCTCCGTGTCTGCGAGTGCAATCCAGAGCTGTAACTAGAGAAATAAACAATCTCGTTGTTAGGCGACGTGTGCACCACGTTATTTTCATTTTTGCGATAAATGCCTATCGACGTTGTGTTCACGTCGCTCGCGGTTTGAGACAAAAGCATCTCGACGTGCGTGGCACGTCTTTTTAGCACAAGTTGCTAAAAGCCTATGCTGAGTTTATTGATGACGTGACTTAATGATGTGATTATATTTTCCAGTGAGTGAAGAATGACTGACGTTATGAACTATGAACTATAAGACATTTAGTGTGAACATTTTTTTTAGAGCTAAAATACTAAACTTTTGATTTTTTCCTCCTAACGTAATGTAATATGTTTAAAGATTTAGCCAGGGTTTGCTAAATTATTATGTTTAATTTTAAATGATTAATTTGTATTGTCTTGTTAATATGATAACTGCTTATATGATTATGATTATGTGAAAGATTTAAGTTTGAAAAGTTAATTGAATGTTACATCTTTCAAATGAATAAGATTACTGAATTTATGTTGAAGTAAATTTAAATTAAAGCGTCCCTTTGATGAAGTTCCGATTGCGCCAGTAACACGTCCTAAAGAACCATTCCAGGTAATTAATGTGGATATCCTCGGACCTGTAGAGCCAAGCTGTAGAGGCTATAAATATGTTCTGTGTGCTGTTGATCAATGTACAAGAATTAGTTAATTAAGTTCGAAAATTGGTAAGAATTAGTTAATTAAGTTCGAAAATTTCATGAATGTTATTTTATTTTGTTTCGAGAAATGCTTATATATGTGGATTTGACAGATCATTGAAAGACACAATCAAATCTTTTAGAGAGGAGGTGTCATGACATGATGACCACGCATGCGCAGTTTAGCCGAACGGCCTGCAACGCCCCGCTCTCATGTGACTTACTAGAGAAGAGTAGATAGTTAGTAGCGAAGTAACGAAGGTAACGCTGTATGCCAGTGTAATTATAAATGTAGTTCTATTTTTATTTTTGTGTTAATCGTTTGTTCTTATTTTGTTCGTGTGTTGATAAAGTTTTTGTGCTGTTAAATGGCTGGTTTATGTAATGCCCACATTTAGTGCACGTTAAGGAAACGCATATCCAGAACCCGCCCAAGAAGCAGAATATGACAAAGTTCTTTCTAAGCGAAAACCCACCACGATTGATGGACCCTGGAAAGTAGTGGAAGAGGAAGAGATGTCAGTGCACCGAAGAAGTCAATTTTACGAAACTATCTTCTGTCATAAAAATCATGATGCAGAACAGTCTAGAGAAAGGGCTATAAGGTTGAATATTTAAAAAAATACTCTTCACATTTTAAACATTAACTAAACTGCTCTAAATCGTTTAGAAATGTATAAGCACCCTTTGCAATCGGAAAGCTTAATAGTTGCGATTACAAAATATACATAAATTTATTTCAAAATCTATAGCATAACTTAAAATTTCACCTGACGTTATAATCAATTTCACTATATCTTCCGGTGAAATATAGCTGAAGGACTGTGACGCCCTATAATAACCTAAAGATAAAAAAGCAAAATATAAATAACGTGAAAATGTTCATTTCACAGAATGAGATGATTTTTACTTCATTCAGAAGCAAGATACTTTTGGATATGAAATTTTGTAATATTATTTCCTCTGTTTCTTTTCTTATTCTTTCCAAATAATTTATTAAATGCTTGCAATGTACTAAAACTCTTTATTTATCTAAAAAAAGTTTTAGCTCTTCTTTGAACTTCTGAAACAAACTCTTAAATAGTAAAACAAGAAAGGGGCAGAGAAAGGTTGCATTGAAAAAGCTTCATTTGACTTAAATTTCACAAGTAAATGTTTCATAAATGCACATTAAAATGATTCTCAAATCAAAGCCATGGACCAAATAGGTAATATACACGATACATAGAAAATGCACGTAGAAATATGTACCCCAAGGTAAAATTCGAAAGCAAGAGCAATTATCGTAATGTATTGAAATATAGGAAATGTTCAAAAATTCAGTAATCAAATTTAAGCTACGAGTATTATTACAAATTAAAATTTTTTTATTGTTTTCTTCATCTAAATGCCATGGGAAAACCGTAAAGTGAATAAAACTAGATAACGCTACTAAATGACAAATGACTGAAATATTTTTAATACTTTGTATTTAAATACGAAATTGAGATCTAAAATCTATTTCTTATTGAAATAAGAAGTAATAAACATAATAAAGAGCTAATTTTGTCAGACGTTTCTTGTAAAATGCCTAAAAGAAATAGTTTAAGCCTGGAAAAGATTAAATTTAAGGAGCCACTTTGCTAATTTGTGCCAAAAAATTCTCAGATATCTTTTGACACGAAAAGACTTGTAACTTTTCACTGGAATCATATAAAATCTTTAAGAAAATTAGATGAACTATTATAAAATGATTAAGGTTTGTTCATGTTAATTAATCAGTTATTTTATGTTCTGAATCTGTACTCTTACTTCTGTCTTTCCGTTTCCCTGACAGAATGAAAATTAGCTCGCGCGTATTTAAGTAATGTTTTAAGATTACGTAGTTACAGCGTGTTCTGCCTGCCGGAAACCTACATTAGTTTGTTATTCTAAGTTAAGACTTCCTGCTTTTGGCGTTGCTTTATTCTTGCCGATGATAGTTTAACGTCTGTGCAGGCTTAAGACTCGATTTTCGCATTTAAATATCTTTGCGTAGATTTTGGCTAATTGATATTTAGATTTAATTTTAAATTTTATTTTGAGTTCAGGCCATAAATGCCGGCTGATTTGTAAGCACCAGGCGTGCCTTTTCAGCTTATTTAGTTTTAAATGAGCTTATAAGGTATTTCTTCCTCCTCCTTGGCATGCCTTCGTGGTGTGGTGGTCTGCACACTGGGGCGTATTCCAGAGGTCCGCTTTTCGATTCC